ATGTGTCTGAGCGCTGTCATCTCCTTGTACATGGACAATTGACACATCTGACCTTCTTTTGGGTTTCAAGGAAACCTGCCCAGGTTCCCCCCAGCTTCTGTCCTGGTTGTATAGAACTGAACTAAAACTGGCCAGAGGGCATTTTTGAGGGGTTTTGTGCTGGTTGGTTGTTGTTTCTTTTTGAAGATGGCTGGTGAGAGCCCTTCAGTGGGCACCAAGGCTTATTAAATTCCTTGCCTAATTAGCAAGAGTTTTCTCTTTCTGATGCAGGATGACTTGGAAGCTTCTTGGTGCTCTGGGACTGAAAATCCCACAGATTGCCTCTTAAAGAAAGGGGAGACAATTAAAATAATTTTCTTTGGAAAAAAAATCCTGGAAGTACTAAGCCCCAGGCCTGTCCCTCCACAGGGTGTAGAGCCCTCTCCCGAGCTTCAGAGGACCACAGCCTGAGAAATTGTCCTTCCCCAGTGCTGGGGACCTGGTGAGCTGGAAGAGGAGCCTGAAGGAGAGTTGGTGCCATCCCAGGCCACTCCCTTGGGTGACAGGAGCTGCTGGGGAGGATGTGTTCACAAAGGACAGAGCAAGGAATGCAGGGAAGAGAGGGGAAGGTGCCACAAGGGAGGCTGGAGAAAGGTGAACCGAGAAGGAGCAAAGTGGGTGCAACCCTTTGCCAACATCTCCTCCCAGGGCTACCCAGGGAATGGTCCCAGCCCCACAAGCTCCAGAAGCATATGGACACCACTGCCAGGGATGCCCAGGGTGGGATGTTGGGGTGTCTGTGCAGGGACAGGAGCTGGACTCAGTGATACTGGTGGCTCCTTCTAGCTCAGGATCCGTGATTCCATGGAATTCACACCTTCTATGGCACAGACTGAAACACTCAGTCCCCTGAGGCACCACGGCTTGGCTTGGAGTACCTGGGAAAACTGCACCATGTCAGAGCTGGGAAACCTCCAGGCCCAGCCCAAAGCACCCCGGGAACTCCTGCTCTGCTCCCACCTGAGCCAGCACCCAGAGCCCTCCTGCTGGACCTGGACTGGAGGACTGGAGCCTTTCTGTTGCTGCTGCACTGAAGGAGAGGCCCCCCTGCCCTGGGCAGCAGCTCCCAGGCCCGAGGATTCCCCCTGCTCCAGGAGCAGAGCTCCTCCACAGCTACATCTGTGCTGCGGGCGGCCCCGGCTGTGCGCTGCGCTTCCAGCTGGCTCCCTTCCCTCCACAAACAGATGCAGCTCCTCTAGCAGGGGCTGATTTATTCAGCAGGAGTCTCACACATTAAGTGTAGTTAAGTCTGAAAACAAATCTAATGACTTTAAAATAAATAGCCAACAGAGGACTCCAAACTGAAATTCCTCCTTCCTCTGACACCCGCCATATAAACAATAATAATTATATAAAACCGTGTCTAACACATGACTACACAAGGCTCTGGTGACCAAGAAAAGCACACGCTGCTTGTCAGACATAATTGCACATTTGGTTTTTCAATTATTTCTTGTCAGGATCCAGAGCCCACCATCTGAACGCTGACATTAATTATTGGGAAGTTGTTGGTGCTCCAATAGTCTTATGGAGACTCCCAGTGCTCACCCTGAGGCTCCCAGTGCTGCCCCACACTGCCCTGCTGTCCCATACTGGGACTGTCACACACCAGACAGGGACACCCAGCCTGGGCCACCATGTGCAGAAGGGGCTTCAGAAGAAGCTTAAAGCAAGTCTCCAGTGGACATCAGCAAGGAACTGATCCCCTGCCATGTGCTCATGCACCGGATGGGGCCAGACCATGTCCAGCACTTGGGCCTCCAACATATGACCTGGAGCTGCTGGAGCCAGTCCAGAGGAGGCCACGGAGCTGCTCCAGGGCTCCCCTCTGCTCTGGAGCCAGGCTGGGAGCTGGGGGTGCTCCCCTGGAGAGGAGAAGCTCCAGGCAGAGCTCAGAGCCCTTCCAGGGCCTGAAGGGGCTCCAGGAGAGCTGGAGAGGGACTGGGGACAGGGGATGGAGGGACAGGACACAGGGAATGGCTCCCACTGCCAGAGGGCAGGGATGGATGGGAGATTGGGAATTGTTCCCTGGCACAGGTGCCCAGAGCAGCTGTGGCTGCCCCTGGATCCCTGGCAGTGCCCAAGGCCAGGCTGGACAGGGCTGGGAGCAGCCTGGGACAGTGGGAGGTGTCCCTGCCATGGCAGGGGTGGCACTGGATGGGCTTTGAGGTCCCTCCTAACCCAAGGCAGTGTGGGATTCTGTGAATCCAGCCCATGTCACCCCTGTCACCATGTTCCTGCTGAGTCCCCTCCCAGCCCCTCTGAGCACGCAGCTCCTGGCATCGCACACCCATCACATCGCTGCCCATCATGTAGGAAAACATCCTGCCTTTTATTGGCTTTTAATTTGCTGCTTTTTAATTTTGTTGACTGTCTCTTTTTGCCTTGCAAAAGGAAGAAAGAAGCCTCTGATCTACCTTTTCTGGAGTGTTCAAAAACACGCACAGCTTTGTCAGGTTGTCTCTGAGTTGTCATCTTCCCCAAGGCAAGCAGCCATCTCTCTTCTGGCTGCCTTCAAGGAGGAGGGCTTTTAGTGATCCTAAGAATTCTCCTCACCTTTTAAAATCTCCCATTGCTGAGCTCTCACTGAGGTGCAGCAAGCACACAGGAGTCAATGGGGGAGGAGAACAGCGAGTGCCCTAACACCACAAGCTGCCAGCTGCACAGCCTGACCCCTGACACCCCAACGGCAGCAGCAGGCCTGGGGCTGGGGGTGGTGGGAGCACAAACCCCGGGGCCGTCAGAGCTTTCAGGGTTTGCTTGGAACAGAATAAAATCAATTCACTGCACCAAAAAAAGGAAAACAGGATTGACCCAATACCACAGTCATCACCTTGACCAAGCTTGCTACTGTGAAAAAAAATACTGCAGGAGGATAAAATCCAGGCAACTTTGATTATATATTATATTATATCATATCATATTATATTATATTATATTATATTATATTATATTATATTATATCATATCATATCATATCATATCATATTATATTATATTATATTATATTATATTAATTACATTGTACTATATTCTATTATACTATATTCTTTTTGCTTATATTTTTACTGATATAAATTAATTGTTAAAAGTTTCCTTGATAGTTTGCAATTAGTGAGGGTTTCAAGCAGCAATGACTTTGAGAAACATCCATCTTGTCTCCATCCACTGATGGCATCACAGATTCAGTCAGAGCCACATTTCTACCTTCAGTCACTGACAGAGTTTTCTTGAAATATTATATTTTGATTCTGTTTTATTATTTTTAAATGGACTTGGTCATTCTCATTTCTTTGACCATGTTTTGTTCAGTCAGGTAGATGATAAAGTGGGTTTTGTTTCCACTTTTCTACAAGGAAAAAAGCAATGACCAGCCTCACAGTCTTCTGGACACACAAAGGAGCAGGGAAAACAGAGGGAAGTTCTCCCACCTCGCCAGGAGCTCCAGCCCTGCCCTGGAAAGGGCCATGGCTCACTCCTGGGAGGATGTTCTGCCCCAAGGGCAGCTCAGGCAGGTCAGATGGACACCCCAAAGGTCAGATGGACACCCCAAAGGTGAGATGGACACCCCAAAGTCAGATGGACACCCCAAAGGTCAGATGGACACCCCAAAGGTGACATGGACACTCCAAAGGTCAGATGGACACCCCAAAGGTGAAATGGACACTCCAAAAGTCAGATGGACACTCCAAAGGTGAGATGGACACCCCAAAGGTCAGATGGACACCCCAAAGGTGACATGGACACTCCAAAGGTCACATGGACACTCCAAAGGTCAGATGGACACTCCAAAGGTGAGATGGACACCCCAAAGCTGAAATGGACACCCCAAAGGTGACATGGACACCCCAAAGGTCAGATGGACACTCCAAAGTTGAGATGGGACACCCCAAAGGTGAGATGGACACTCCAAAAGTGAGATGGGACACTCCAAAGGTCACATGGTCACTCCAAAGGTCAGATGGACACTCCAAAGGCCAGCTCCCATATGGAGGATGCACTCGCCCACTTGCTGTGGGAAACTCTCCAGTGAGAGCTGCAAAACTGAATTAAAGGTTGGAATAAAGAATGCAGGGGAAGGAAGTGATGCCTGGCTCCTCTCGCCCTGCTCCTCAGCCTGTGCTTTCTTTCCAAGACTTCCTTCAGGCTAGTTCCCAGGGAATCACCACTGCTGGGCCACAGGTGAGCCACACCCAAAGAGTGACAGAGGTCTTCTCCTGTGACAGACCCCCAGTGTTCCCCTCTGCCCAGCTCAGGGGCACTCCAGACGTGTTCAATGCCAAGCAGTGCCAAGCGGACAAAAAGCTGCCAGGATTGAGGGGATTTTGTCCTGAAATGCCATTGGCAGAGCTGGGGCCCGGGGAGGCCCCAGCCAGCAGGGACCAGCCTGGGCAGGGACCAGGGACTGGTGGGAGCGTGGGAGCAGCAGGGGCTGCGGGGTCAGCGGTGGGAGGCAGGGAGGGCAGCAGCACCACAGCAGCTCCCAGAGCTCTGATGTGCTTTTACACAGCAGGATGGGTTTTATCTAAGGAATAAAACTTTCAACACCCTGGAGAGGACGGGAGGCCACAGCCCAGAGCAGACCCACCTCAGCACATCCCTCTCCAGAGGGGGAGCAGCAGAGACACCTCTCAGTGGGATCACAGGGGAATGGGGTGGTGGGACACCTCTGGCCTCTCCTTCTGAAGGACAGAAGGGTCTGCACAGCCCAAGGTGTCCATCCAAGAGCCTCGTCCTGGGGGCACTCAGCTGGAACTTCCCACACCACACACAGACCACCTCTGCTTTCGGTCCCCAATGCCAGGATGACGCCAGCCTCCCACATCCATCTTTCCAGCTCTACCCAAAGGGGGCTGCATGGACACTGAGCTCTGCCACCCATCCCATCTTTGGCCACCCCATCTGCAGGATGGAGAGCACAGCTGAGCAGAGCTGACCCACCCAGCACACCCCAGCCCTACCTGCTGGAAGAGCTCCTCCGCCCGCTGCTGTTGCTCTCCTCGGCCTAGGGGATGAAAACAGAAGAGCTGGTTAGGTTCAGAAGGACGAGGCTGCTCTCCAGCCCAAACCCAGCTCCTCCAGAGCTGCACACGTGCCCAGCTGCGAGCCCGGGCTGGGGCAGGGCAGGGCGTGAGCCCCCAGCCCGTCCCCTCCGGTCACCCCCGAGCACCGGGCAGCGATCCCTGGGAGCAGAGCCACACGGAAAACAGCAATGGCCAAAGTGGCCAAACGTCCCCCTCGTTAGCCCCGTGCCCTAATTAGCCCCCCGGCAGGGCTGGGCAGGGAGGGCCCAGGGCCTCCTCTCGCCTCCTTCCCCGGCTCGCTGATGAGAGCCTTCCTTGGAAAGACAATATTATTCCAATCCCAGAAATTTTATTTCTGAATTTGTGCAAATACAAGTTAAAAGATATTAGCTGCATTTCACATTTTGTGCAAATGGCAGAAACAGGCAATTCATGTGCAGCAGGATGGGGGCCAGCCAACGATTTCGATAAAATAAACCCTTTTTTAATTTAAATGCTAATGCACTGAATTAAAATTTAATAACTGAGGAAATTGAAAAGCCGAGCAGGAATATTGGAAATAAATCCAAGCAGAAACAGCTGAAATTAAAAATTCTAGAGAGTGGGAGGATAGCAGCTAAGCTGTCTTATATGATTACATTTTTTTTTTTTTTTTTTTTTTTTTCAGAACGAAGGGGGGAAGGAAAAAAATCCTATCTTTGGCTGGCTGTAGGGCAGTAAATCGAGAGTGCTGTGATTTATTGCTCAATTTTCCTGAGGGAAAAAGGCTTTCTTTCATGCTGAAATATTTCATAAATTTCAAGCCAGCATAAATTCTTAATTTAAAAGTTATGGAGGTCACATTTAGTGCACTGGTGCAATTCTAAAATCTTAAAGGAATAGCAACCAAAAAAAATTGCAATTTGATTTTATTTTTTTTAATTCTTCATGTAAAATTTTCTTCAAAGGGATTGTCCAAATTACACAAAGCAGAAACACAACCTGGCTTCTGAAGGGATATGAAATCCACTGGAAATGAAGAGATAAAAATCTAATTCAATTACAAAAAGATATTTTGTTATGATGATGATGATGATGATGATTATTATTATTATTATTATTATTATTATTATTATTATTATTGTGAGCCACTTGAGGAATTTCTGTTAAAAAATTTCTTCTCTCCATTGCGTCGGAAAAGCCAGAAGGGAGGAGCTGACAATGTAATTGCTTCTGTTAGATCTCCAATCTTTTGTGAGCACTGATATGTTCATTTGTTATACAGCTGTTCAGCTACAGAAAGGATGTCAGAGCACCCATAATTCAAAGCAATCAATCAAAAATTAATGATTTGTCATGCTTACACAATGGGAAAAAAGGAAAAAAAAAAGCTTTATGGGTTCCTGCAACTGGTAGATTGCTCAAACCTTTGGGGCATTTTCTAGAAGATTAGATCTGTGTGCACGAAGAAAAGAGGGAAAAGGAGACTTAATATAGAGCCAGGGCAGAAACCTTGTTGAGGTGCTTGGCACCTCCCAATTCCTGTACAAAGGGTTTTGTGCACAACCCAAGCTCACACAACCCAAGAGCCACATCTTCAGGGACCTTGTGAGGCTCCTGCCACGAGAATTCCAGGGGAAAACCACCTGCTGAATCATGGAACCATGGAATATCCAGAGCTGGAAGGATATTCTGACCCATGAGGATGATGGAACCCAGCCCCTGGCCCTGCACAAACACACCAACAATCCCCAGTGCTGGGAACTTTACTTATTTTGAAATAAAAAATGAGGAAAAAAGGAAACCACAACAGGTAAAGGCTCGATGGTTTCACACAGCCAGGGCGCTCCTGGAGATGATCCATCAGACAAAAACACCAAGCTAAGCCTGAGATCAGATGAAGCTAAGAGATCAGATCAAGCTGCTTTAAACGTTTCTGGATGCTGAAATAAACAATTCCACAGAATCCCAGCCTGGTCTGGGCTGGGAGGGACCTCAAAGCCCACCCAGTCCCACCCCTGCCATGGCAGGGACACCTCCCACTGTCCCAGGCTGCTCCAGCCCTGTCCAGCCTGGCCTTGGGCACTGCCAGGGATCCAGGGCAGCCACAGCTGCTCTGGGCACCTGTGCCAGGGCCTTACACCCTGCCAGGGAACAATTCCCAATTCCCAATCTCCCATCCATCCCTGTCCTCTGGCAGTGGGAGCCATTCCCTGTGTCCTGTCCCTCCATCCCCTGTCCCCAGTCCCTCTCCAGCTCTCCTGGAGCCCCTTCAGGCCCTGGAAGGGCTCTGAGCTCTCCCTGGAGCTTCTCCTCTCCAGGTGAGCACCCCCAGCTCTCCTAGCCTGTTACTTCAAAAATAAAATCCATTTAAACTCAAACATTCCATCTAAATTCTAAAAAGTGGCATTTGAGGACTAAAATACCATGAGGAAGTGGAAGGGAGAAAGGCTGGAAATCACTGTTTAACCAGAATGTGCCAAAACGGGTCAGAGCAGCCCCCAACAAAGTAACACGTTTGTGGAGGGGAACAGAAATCTCCTGTGCTCATTTAGAATCTCCTGCACTCCCATTTACCCAAATAATTGATTTTGGTGATTTCCTAATTTCTAATTGAAAAAGGAGAGGAGTAGAATTTCCATCTGCTGATGAGCAGGGAGGCTGGATGTGGGGTGCTGGGACAGGCAGGAAAATGTCACATAATCTGCCCCATAAAATAATTTACAATTCAAAATCTTATTCCCTAAAGTTGCTTTTCTACATATTGGATGTGTTTAGGGTAGTTTTGTTTAACTAATGCTAATAAATATCCTTTAAATGAAAATGCACACAAGCAGAATGTGGTTTCAAGCCATATGCTCCCCAACTCAAGTTGCAAGCAAAAAGTAAATCATGTGATAATTAAGAAATGTATCAGTCAACATCTCCTAACAGGATAACGTGTCAAAAAATAAGAGTCCAAGCAGATGTAAAACTGACCTGAGAAATCCATGTTTATCGAGAGGGCTGCACTATATTGGGAAAAATCCCCAACATTTTAACAGTTACAGCAAAACAAAAAAATAACTAAAAGCAATTAAAAATGTGTAATGAGATTTCAGAAGATTTAAGCACAGGCCTTCTGCCTGATCACTTAAATTATGATTAGAAACAATTATTCAAATGACTTGGATTTGCATCCGTGCTTGGATCAGCTCCCATGGATGGGATGGGGGCACTGGGATATCTCTACAGCACTGCCACAGCCTTCCCAGCAGGGAAGGGGTTAAATCCATGTATTTATTATTTATTCAGACACAGCCACCCCCTATGATTTGCCTCTGAACCCCATCCCAAAGGGAGAGGTCCCTAATTCTGCCTGGGGGTCGCAGGAGGGGCAGACCTTGCTCACTCCAGCTCCCCTCCCACAGCACCTTCCCTCTGCAGAGGGAAAAGGGCAGAGTTGTTTGTTTACCTAAAGAGATAAAAAAAGGGAAAACCCCCCAAAACCCCCACCCAGCTTCCCCCAAACGCCTTCCCAGAGACAGCTGAGTAATTATTGTCCAAACACAAACCACACGTTCAGTTTTGGAAGGAGCCAGCAGCACCCAGCATGGAAAATTTCACCCCAAATAATTAAAATTTGGCAAAGGGAGATGCAACTGAAAACAGGTCTGACACAGGAATGTGCCATAAAAATAACTGCAGGCCTGCTACCTGTGCTGTCTGAGGTTATTAACTTCAGAGGCACAGAAAATTCAGGAAGTGCTTTTTTTCTTTTTGTTTTTTTCTCTTCTTTAAACAAAGGGCAAGACACCGGCAGTTTCCTATTTAATTTTTATTAAATGGTGGGGGGAAACAGCAGAGCAGCTCCACATCACACCAAAACATCTGCAGAGCACAAGGACCCATAAATGTGCCCGTGCCCCTTTTGAATCTGGATTTTTGCTTCCTCCTGCCAGCACAGTGGATGCTGAGGAACCCCAAGGCCCGGATTTCAAAAGAAGGAAACAGCACTGAGCCCAGGGGTGATCCCAGCAGAGCTGTGCTCCACAGAACCATGGAATCCTTGAGGATGGAAAAGCCCTCTGAGATCAGAGCCCAACTATTCCCCAGCACTGCCAAGGCCAGCACTGTCCCCACGTGCCACATCCCCACTGGAGCATTTCCCCATCCCCACTGGAACATTCCCCTGTCCCCACGTGCCACATCCCCACTGGA